TCATAATTGTCATTTTATCGATTTAATCCTGCAGGATAAGCTTCTTTTCCCTGTTTGAAAGGGTGTACATCGACTTCAAAACAGCATTATCTCTTCTTTTACTGTCAAAAACCTACAGAGGACTGGACTCAAACAGAGAGGGATTAAAATATCACACGTTCCCTTATAGATGATGTTTTTTACAGAGAGCCTTTTGAATACAGAGCCACAGGAATAAACTATAAAAAAGGTATTTTAAAATCAGTTTGTTGTAACTCAAGTGTCAAATCGTGACCTGATTAAAACAGCATCAACACAGGAACTCCCCTCCATCTGCTCCGAGTGTAAAACAAACATTTGCACGTCCTGTTTGCTGCAGGGTTTCATGCACCGTACAGTAGGTGTGGTGCCGCCTGTCCTCGCTGAATTTCACCCCTGGGTGCCGTGAAGCTGATTTATAAGAAGGAGGGACGTGTGAGCTGCAATCAGCCCATTTCCATCAGCGTTATGGCTGCCTGACAACATCCAGCTGTCCCTGATGTGCCACCCAGGGCGGGCGGGTGGCGGTGGGTTTGTCAGCCCTGCTGTTTGACTGCTGCGCTCATTCAGATGAAAAAAACATATGTGTGTTTGGCCCCATGGTCACACATGGAAACATGCTAAAGAAAACACCCAGATGAAATCAGATTTAAATAGTACAGGATTAAGCTCAGTGTGTTGTATTTTTCTTTATATAAACAAGTTTAACATGAAACTAAAACTAATAAGAACTTAAAGCTCCTGTAACAGACGATCAGATAACGTCAATTTTGGCGCCCCCTGTGGACAAATCAGTCTTTGCTTCACTTGTCCTGCACCTCCTGAAACAGATTCATCTCATAAGAATATAATTCTGCTGACTTTTTAGACAATCTTTCATTTATTGTGAATATTTCATGCAGAAATTATAAAACAGGACAGTTTCTTCAACTGCTTAGACGACCCTTCCCCCTTCACATTAGTTTTAGAGATTATAAATAGTGAAACAAAAAAAGTCTTGTTTCATAAATGGAAAACATCTCTAAACAGAATTTTTAACTCAAACTGAACACTTTCAAGAAATAAAAACTAAACTGAACTAAACCTCCAAAAATAAAAGGAATCGAAGAGAACACAGAAGAGACTAAGATCAAAATGAATCTTATAAATGTGGAAAGTTTTTTTTATATCAAATATAGAAAGTATAAAACAGACATTTCTCCAAAGATTTTATCCAGAGAATTTTCTGAATTCTGCAGAAGTTAAAATTAAAACACAGTAAACTCCAGAATCTGGCAGAACTTCTGTTCTCAGTGCTGTTTGCCAAATATCCTTGAAGTGCACGAGTGAAACCTCGATTCTTGACTCCTATCACCCAAAACTCAGTCTCAGATTGGAATCAGTCATTCTCTCCATGCGATGGTCTAAAGTGTGGCCAACACATCAGCGGAGTGTTTGTCCACCCTCCTGACCTGTAATTTCTCCTAAACAGAAATCAGTTCAGGCTTTTCAGAGACGCTCCTGTGTGAAACTGTTTACACCAAATCAGACTCAACTTTCCACCTCCGAGTGAAGAGCGTTTTTTGTGGGAAACTTTGAAGAAGGTTTTTCTAGAGATTGGATTTCACGAGGTGACGGTGCTCTGCTCCACTTTAAGGCTGAGACCTTTGACAACGCATCAGTGTTTTGATTCATCGCTGCAATCTCTGCCTGTCCTCTCCCCTGTGTCTCCTCTCCAGCTGCTCCCACTAACTTATGATATAACATCATTATACAGTAACCCCACAAATTGTGAACCCAGCTGTCTCAACCTGATTTCTCTTTTTACAACAGCTGGGACGCAGCTTGTGCTGCGCACCCACCACCATGCGGCTGGAGGGAAATGCACCTAAACAATCGAACATAAAGCATAATATCGTTCATCTTCGGTGAGTAAAGTTAGGATTTAAAGGGATTACAACCCAGAGCCGATGAAAGAACACATGGTTGTGCAGAAGGAGGAATGATTTGTTTTTCACTGAATAACACAGAGGCTCGATGAGGACAGTCAGTGCTGTTCCCGACTGTTTTTCTCTGAGGCGTGCTGCTCTCTGGAAGAGCTGCAGAGGTACAAATTATACCCTAACGGATAACCCAGAGCCCGATACAGACACCACTGTTGTTTGGTTACCAGATGACTCATCCATGTTAAGAGCGCAGACTGTAGGAAACACAGGCCAGGAGGTTTTATGAGGTCTAAAGACAGTGGTCACAACACTGGAAACGCAGACGCAACCAAGAGGTGGCGTTTTATCCCTCCGGTACCCACCTGTCGGTTCTGCAGATCATGACGCCCCGCCTTATTATCATCAAAATCAAAGAGTTATCATAAAAACAGACCAAAGCATCAGGCTGCAAACATCATCAGTTCAGCTGATAATGGACATTTAAACACAGGCTCAGATAGAAGACAGCCTCAAGTGGACACTCAAAGAACTGCAGGTTAACATCGAATCAAATCAAAGACGGATTGTCCAAATGTTTGTGAATTTTGGTCGACTGATTACTGTTTTAAGAAAGCGGGTCAGCCAGCTGTAAATACACACTTACGATCACACACTGTTGTTTTCTTTTTAATTTTGAAAAACTGATCAATGAGAAGCAAAGTTGTTGATCATAAATGAACATTTTACTAAATACTGCCACAAAGGCGTTCAGGATGTCTGTCGGGGATCTTAATAATTAGAAATAAGAAATAAAAATCCACTTTTAAAATGTCAAGTATAGATCTATAATTCTTGCACATTAAAACCAGATATCAATGATTATGTTTGCCAGTTATATGCTTGAATAGATTCATGATTTATTTAGGTTTGTTTTGTTCCAAATTGGTGGAAGTTAAGGGTTAAACATCCAAAGTGAAGGATTTTTTCCATTCAGACTCGTGGATGATTTCAAATCGACAAAGTCTGATCTTGCTCAAGTTGTCTATGATCCATCTTACTATGTTAGATCAGGTCTGGATCCTCCTTCTCCTCATGTTCAGGCTCTTTGTGGTGATCCAGATTTTACATTATTCTGATAGAATACATGAATACTCTTCTTTGTCGGTTTTGTTCGGTTTGCTGTTTCTGCTCACCCACAAAATAAGGAGTTTCCAGTCCTGAGGTTTTATGATCATATTTCTCCTCTTAAATGCGTCCAGGACCGGAGCTGGAGGCTGTAATCAGCAGATTGTCGGGCAGAGAGCGTGGCGACATGCAGGAAGCAACCATTCCTAATGTCTTAACTTAACCATGGTTAAACCCCGTTCTCTTGGTAATTTCATTTTTAAACAGAGCGTGAAATAAAAAATGTGTTTTTCTGGTCTGGCAGGCTGACAGTGCAGACATTTATTGATTTTGCCAGTTTAAAGCATTCAAGATATTATACTATGTCTCCCTGCAGCTGAGGAACCTCTCCATCCTCTTTTTATCAAGCGTAACTAACTCCGAACATTTCATTTGGAGCGTTTCCTGCTCGGCAGACTGATGGTGGTCTAAAATAAGCCCATACATTTACAGCCTAGAGATGCCAGAGGACCTGTTGAACTCTTAATGCAAATACTGCTTTTTTATTTGACTTATAGGTCGCATTTATGGCGGCAATACATCTGAGTTTGTGCACTTAAAGTTAACCGGAAATGATCAGAGTGGTTAGTGGAGCAATCCGAGTCCAGGGAATAAAAAGCATGAAGCAGAAACCTGTGTGATACGGCGGTGAATTTGAGCAGTTTGAAGGACATTGTGATGATTGAAACGTCATTATGCAAACTAATATACTGAAGAATATAATAACCAGAGACTCAATCTTCCCCCTCCTGTCGTTTCAGCTCCTGTTTGTCATCCCAGAGACAGACGGACTCTGCTGAGTGAGCTCTCAGAGGAAACCTTCCTGAAATTGAAAACTCTTTTTCAAACAGAGGGACTCAAATCAGATCTGAATGAACGCAAAATAAACCAGCAGAGCCACAGCATCAATCCTCACCCTGTTTTCCCTCCAAATGCTGCAGAAGTTTTCCTCTTATTGCTGTTATCACGTCTGATCTGCAGCATTTAACTCTTTTCGCTTCTAGTTTCTGCTTTTGACGGATGAAATAAGTGAAACTCTCGCCTAAGGAGGTTTACGTGGCTCTTCAGCTTTAAAATCAAGACCAAACTTTCATTAAACATTAAAAACTGACGGGTAAACTCACTGATTCGGACACTGTCTCTCTGTATGTTGAAGCTCATCAGTGTCAGGGCGGTTATTCGGCCGAGCAGCCGTGTTAATCTGGTATAATCACAGTGGGGATGTCTGTGACCGACGACGCAGACAAAGTGGCCTTTCTCTGTTTCTTTTCAGCGACAGACAGGCGAGTGGAAATGATAGAGGGTGGAGAGGGAGGGAAAAGGCCAGCTCCAGCCCCTGGGCTCACTTTTGTCTCCTGGAAATGCAGCTTGACTGATGGACACAAACACTGATCAGATCATCTGATTGTGTCCCAGAAATACTCTTGAGTGAGGATGTTGGTATTTCTTTAGATAAATTCACATCGAAATAGAGTTTTGACGGTGCAGGAATCCGTTAAAGAGGCATCTTTTTTGTGGTGTATATACAAAAAAGCTTTTAGATATTAGTTATTGATGACATTTGGGAATATAACGATATCGCTGTGTTCTCTTATGTCTGAGTAGTTAACGGGCGCTTAAAACGAAAGTAGACGGGACAAGACCTAAAAAGCCGGGTCAACATAAGCGATGGGTAACCTTTCTGCTGGACAGGTAAACCGCTTTAACAAAGTAAGACAAGTGTCTGTAACAGAAGTGTTTCTTGCTGTAGCGTGTTGTAGCTAAACTGTCCTCCCTCGGGTCCTGGACTATGTCACTTTATCCTAGTTGTAGAAGTCCTGCAAACATTGTGTTTGCTGGTAGTTTGTTGGCATCTACAGTAGCACCAATGCTTTTGACTTTCACCTTGACTGGGCCCCATTTGTAATGATCTGAAGTAAACCATCCATTCAGATTCAGATTCAGATTCAGACAACTTTATTTATCCCCTCAGGGCAATTCCGTTCACAGTTCCCCTGCCGTTTGATCCATCCAAACACACAAATCAGCCGACAAACAAACCAGACAAGTGCAAGACATTAACAGCAGCCAGTAGACAAACACAGTCCCTCGTCAGTACCCACAGATCAGCAGGATCAGCAGTAAATAGCTAAATAAGTATAATAAGCAGTCAAGTTCCACAGAGCAATGGTTAAGATACAACAAGTTCCACAAGTTTGAGACACAAGATAAGAATTAAGATAAGATAATAAGATAATAAAACACTCCTGCACTTATCTGCATTATATCTGAATTTAATTGGAACGATATGAGCGAGCAGGAGCGTCTGTTTGTGGGCCAAAAACTGGCACTTCCTCAGATCCTACCTACCCCACCTTTAATAATAAATGAGTCTTCAAACGCTTTTTAGAAGCATCCACAGAGCCCACAGTTCAAGAGGGGGACAGTCCCAACAACTCAGATGCACGGTCTCCTTTAGTTCGGGGTCTGGTCTGAGGGACAACCAGGTTTTACAGCAGAGGATACGACATCGAGACTTTGGTTTGTCAGCATTTAACTGGAGAAACTTATCTGCATGTTTAGCATTCGCACCAAACTACTAAGTACTGAGTTTTTCCCAAAGAGCTCAGAAGTAGAAGTGGACTGTTTGGATCAAAGCTGAGTCTGAAACCTTTTTCTTAAAGATAGAAACAGGCTCTGCAGATCTTACAGAGTTTGGTAAATCATTGACGGGTCTAGACTCTGACTTGTTTTCGTTGCAGGGTTTGGAGTTTGATGTGAGCTGCAACCAGAAGCCAGTGGAGAGAAACGAACAGCAGAGTGACACGTGTGTTATTGAAAAAGCTCAGCAGACGTCACTCATGCAGGAAAAGGTTAGAGGAGGCGAACAGATCTGACGTCTTGGTGTGAACCCAGTCATGGTTTTCCTTTCACCCCAGGTATCATAGCAGACACTTGGAGGAGAGGAGAGTTTTAATAATGTACTGATGTATTAGCAGGAGGCTTTCTAAATACCCCAGACCTTTTATAAAGACTCTGCAGGGCTGCGTCGTGTGTGTGTGTGTGTGTGTGTGTGTGTGTGTGTGTGTGTGTGTGTGTTGTTTGTGTTTAATTCATACCCAGAGATTGCAGACATTTGAATTAAAGCTGCAGAACTATTAAAAATGTATGCTCTGTATGAATGCGTGACCTATATTTCCATGCAAATAAATAAATAAACGGGGTTTAGGGGGATGATGCAAATCTTTAGAAGTGGGACACAGGATGAGCTGATGTCGCCTGAACAATAAAGGGTTTTAACCCCTTCTTTACCTCTTCGCCACCCGCTCTGTCTGTTGGCCTCTCCCAGTTCAAATATGACCTACTTCTCAGGAGCAGAAAAAAGGACTCAGCTTTCATGTCCTGGTGACATTGACACTAGAGGGTTTTTGGACTCTTTGATGGGGATGTGTCCGCTCTCCTTCGCCCTCTACCTGGATCATTACTCTTATAATTACTCTGCTCTTCTCAAGATGTCAGGGACCAAAGCAGTGAGAATAAAGGCAGCAGATGTTGCTCCTAAAAATGAGGATACAGCGGCTATGATTTCCAGTTCTTCGTTGAAAGGGTAACTGGACTTACTTGGGACGTTTCGCCCCTCAGAGATAATGAAGACGCCTTAAAATCTAAACATTAGATGATGTAAACGTAGATGATATGATTGATCGCTGCTTTTGGTCTGGTGGCTGCACCACTTGTTGTGGCTAAACTGCTGATGCTACTTGTGCCGTCAGCAGTGACAGGCTGTTCAGACTCCGCTCACATTTTCAGGAAGAACTTCTTCAAATGATTAAACAGATTCGTTGTGTTGCCGGTTTTTGAAGGCACCGATTGCCGACATACCTTACATATCGGCTTAATTACTCAACGTCACTTTGGAAATACCCGAACCATAGCCACACAACCGACGTTGAACAACTTCTCAAAAATAACATCTTTGGAGGATGACTCAAAGTCAAAGCTGACATCTATCTTGCTGCCCTCAGCTCCACGTTTATCTCCATGTTCGGTCATTCTGTTTACTTCTCCTGTTTTCTTCTCCGACAACTTACAGAAGTGAGCAGGAAAAGCTTGACTCTGATTGGCTGTTGTGACGCACGTTTCCGCTATGTGTAATCGAGTAAATATGCTCACAGCCGTGATCGAACTGAAATTTATCACAATCACGATCATATAATCACCCAGTCCTAGTTCAGCCTTATTGGAGCCTTCACAGATGTGGAATATACCCATGACATGGACTCTGATGATCCCCAGACCACCAGGTCATTGATTTGTCAGACCAGTGCACAGTTTTTCTGGAGTGCATTTCGAGCGAATGCAGTTACTTCCTGATCCTGAAGGTCTCAGTCATCCAGTGTCAGTTGTTGGTTTTGCCCTTTCTGTGTTGAGATGCTGAAATCCTCAAAGTCTTTACATTTTAATCTCAGGAACTGTCGAACTGTTCGCTCACGCAGTCTTTCACAGAGCGGCGAACCTCTAATTTGTCCTGAATCTGAGGTCATGTTGATTTCCTCAGAGGCTCCACGGTTCATAGTTCATGGTCACTCTGTTTGTACTCATACAACGAATGAATCAGCCTCCTTTGTCCTCACACAAACAACACAGGACGTGAAATATTAATGAAAAAACAAGCGTTCAGGATTAAACATGTAACCTTCAGTGAAAACGTCATAAAAGCATTAAATCAGGCATCTGGATAAGAAATATTTTTGCATTTTATTTCAGAATAATGGATTTGAAAAAGGAAAGAACAAGCTTTGATAGGATGGAGCAGAAACTGTACATTCATAAGGCCATGGGTGAATCTATCTCTGTATTTCAGCAGATGTTTTCTGAGGTAACTCATACGTCCAAATACAGATGATCAAAGTCAAAAATTTAAAGTTACAAATATCAAACGTAAAAATGTGGTTTTCGCCCTGAAGGCTGAGCAGCTCTAAACAAGAGTGAGCTGCTTCTTATTGACGGAGCAGATTGATTTCAGTCAGGAGAGAAGGGGGGGAAGGTTTTACAGCCTGGATGTTATTCTTGGACTCTGCAGCTCTTACCAGGCGTTACTAACAGCAACCACATTATTTCTATATCGTCAACAAATGTAGAAAAGAACGAAAGTTTGCTGTCACCTGATGGGACAGGATTTGGGGGTAAATTTAAAGACGTCCTGTTTGGAGGTTTGGAAATTTGGTCTGTTTCCTCCTCTCTGCACTCACTCTATTTTCTTTATTTCCCTCCATTAGTTAAAATAAAGGTGATGACGTCAGTTAGAGACAAAGGCGTGATTGGTTGGCAGTCTGCAACAAAGATTACAGTTAAAATTATAAATACATAGTCAGTATCAAACAGTGGTCTCTGTCTGACTACTTGTTACTAGGGCTGCACGATTTTGGCCAAAAATAAAATCTCGATTTTTGATTTCGATTTTTTATTCATTGACAGCTTCACCAAACTTCACTTTAAAAATAACAAGTTTTTCTACCATCTTTCAAAATGAAACCACTGAAAATGATGTAGTGCATATGCCAAGACAGTAAGTGGCGCTGTAACGCTGCACAGGAAATGCACAAAAGACAAAAGAAGAGCACAGAGCGTGTGTATAAAGGCTCTTTTGGTCGGACATACACAGGCGCCATAAAAGTCGTCTATGGACCCGTTTTCAAAAAATACAGTTTACAGTCACCCGAAACGCTGTTTCCGTGTGAATGATACGACAAAAATCTTTTGCGTTTACTCCTGAATTTGTTTGGACGGGTTGATACCGCCTTCAGACAGACTTTGCAGCGGGGAGTGGTTTGCTCTTCGTCTGAAACTGTAACAAGCTGGGGGAGCCTACGGTGGCCTGGAGGCGTGAGACATGATAGAGAGAAAAAATCGATTCAATGATTTTAATTTTTTTAACATCGTCATCATCAGATAATCAAATTAAGATTTAAAATCAATGAATCCTGCAGCCCTACTAGTTACATTGCTGTTTGTTTACCTTTTTAAACCAAACTGCAGTCATTGCATCAGTGCAAATACTCGGTGCGTGCTGGTAAGAAGTCTGTCTGCTGTCTGTCTCAACTATCACTATCTGTGATCCTATTATAACCTGCAGCCTGTTCGAAGGGAGAAAACAGACCTGTTTTCAAAGACGATACTGAGCATTTGTTATCTCATTTAGAACTCAGTGCCGTGTGGTTACAGAACCAAGCACCCTGCAGAGTCTGCTAAGGTAACCTCGACGCCTCAAACTTTAAAACTCTGAGTCATAACAGCTGATTCCAGATCGTCCAGCTCTGCTGCAGTGTGTGCTCTCATGTTGACTGTAAACTACAGCTGTTTGGGAGAGGAGTGGAGACATTAACATCAGTTTGTCACTGCAGGAAAAGGTCACCTTTTTATCTTTCTCATGGCCTCCTGTGGCATTATTTTACAATCTGAGATCTGTCTGTATACCAGCGAGCCACAGAGGTATGACTGACCCTCTCTCTCTTAGAGGAGACTAACCTTTTACCTCCTGTTTTCTGCAAAGGCCATCCTGTCTCTGCTGCAGCTCATAAAGCAGCATCTCTTACCCTCTCTCTCTCTGTGTGTGTTTGTGTGTGTGTGTCTGTGTCTGTGTGTGTGTTTTTTGTTGTCTGTGTGTGAGCTGAAGTTGAGGCGAGGCTGTTGGCTGTTTATATGAAGCAGAGGAGTGTATCCATGCTGAAATGACTAATTGGGAAACATAGTGTACGAGCTCATTTGACGCACCGAGTATCTTATTCTCTTTGCATGAATGGCTGCAGGTTTATACCCAGAATGCAACACTCATGGAGCTTCTCCCACCGCTGAACAAAGGGTTTGTTTTAATTTCATACTCAGTGATAGATTATGAGAATCTCTTCACAGCACTGCGCTCTTGTGCAGTCTTGTTTGTATTTTGTTTTCCGCCTTAAGGTACTTCTTCTTCTTCTTCTTCTCCCTCTTCCCTCCTCCTCCTCCTCCTCCTCCTCCTCCTCCACCTCTGCTCTGACTGCTGCCACGAGCTTGGCATCAAAGGGCCGTTAAAGAGGCTGCTTCTAAATGAACTTGACAGCAAAGCCAAGGCGTGGTGATATGGGTGGACATGCAAATCAATATTTCACATCATCAGCCTCTGGTTGGTGGAGCATGGGGACAGGATGGCGGGGTGCGGCCGACACTGTCATTGATTTAGACCACAAGAGGAGTCAAAGTGCTCCAGTGGGACTCAGACTATAGGTGCTGTGGAGTTAATCAAAAGCCAGGCGTTTCGAGGAAGGTATTTCTCCTTTAATTCCTTCAACTAGGATGAATTCCCATAGATTGGTTTGCAGCCGCTCTAACATCACCATAAAGCGTGCGTCAACCGCTGCAGCTGTTTTCTCAGTCAGGGTCCAGTTCACAAAGGGCTTTACGTTGATGATATACCAGCATAATAAGGCTCATAGAGTTCTACAGCTCAGTGCTTACGCTCATTTTTTCTGTCTGATTGAGGAGACAGGTCATCAACACCTCCGCTCTCTGCAGCGGGAGCCGCGCTCTCATGCAGAAGGAGTTTCATTCTGTCTACATTATAAACGTGTGTTGGGGGGTTATTGTAAGTCCTGGTTGTAACAAATGTGATACCAGTTCTGCAGCAAAATGAGACCGAATAATTCTCTAGATTTAGGTGTGCATGTTGAGGATGATTCTGACCAGATTTATAAACTGCACTGAAGACGTTGTGCATTGATTGTTCTTGTTTGTCTAATCGTACTGGGGGTCATGCGGAACAATCACAGCCAATCAGCTGCTCCAGAGTGGTCAGATGAATTTCTGGCATGTTAGAAATTTTAGGCTTCACTCACATGCAGGCAAATATTTTTGTATTTTTCTGCAGGTTTTGACCTTTTGTGAACTTGCAATGAGTTTAAAGTGAGATGGAGATTTTTGTAATAATTATCTTAACGCATGAAAGGAAGTTATCGCTAATATTTGAGGTGCAGCGAGTGTGCATGTTTGGTTTATTTACATTTTCCCTAGAAATCAAGCTTTTCCTTGTCATTTAAGGTGAATAAATATATTAAATTTTAAGTTTTCAATGCACCGCTCTGTGCAAAGTTTAAAAATCACTTTTTTAAAATATCCAAAGATGGTAAAAATATAGGTAAAAACAACATAGGGCCACATCATTTAAACAACGTAAGTGAGAGACAGGGGAGAGTCTAAAGTGAGCACCATCAAACAGAAATAAGTCTGCTTGAAACTAAAATGTATTAAAAGTATTTCTGCATTTATAGTTATTTTCAGGAACTCTGCAAGTTTTCCAAAGAGCAGTAAATGTGTGAAAAAAGAGGTCAAACTGCGTGTTACCAGTGCAGCTGTTTGTGAGTCAGAGGCTTTTGCAGAGAGGAGCTGCTGTTGTGTTGCCCTGATGATGTGCATAATGACTTTCTGAAAAACGTGCAAACATCATTGGAGCACGGAGGCTCGATTTGCTCAGAAGTGCAGCCAGTGGAGCATTTTACCATTTGCATATGTTTGGAGAATTTGACTGATTCTTATTGTGTAACTGCTGAAGGTTTTATAGCTGCAAAAAACGGAACAATTCAGTTTTTCTCCTCTGCAGCAGGAGAGCTCACAGTTTAGGTAAAGATGGGTTGGAAGCTGTTTATCACACCTGAATGACATCTGTGCTTCGTTTACACACAAACACACACACTCGACACACACACACACACTCGTTTGTAGTCTCATTGTAGAAAGAAAGGATCAGCGTGAGCCAAGCAGATGGAAGGCATATGGATGCAAAGACAATTCCTCCTGCTTTGAATTGGACCATTTAGCGCTACACACCGACTATGCAATGTGTCACAACACTGGCAGTATTGATGCAGCCCGGCATGAACAGCAAACATGTCATTCAGTTGTAAATGATGTTACATGCAAGGTCACCTTGTGTAAAGGTTGGGAAGGAGGGGGAAATGAGCTGAGGGTGTAATTCATCTCCTGGTGTCAGAGATATATATCAGCGAGAGGAAATCGAGTCACATGCAGTTTAACTCCCTGATAACACAAACACAAACATCCACAAATGTCTATATTTATGAGCCTCTTAAAGCCGGGCAGTTTGGCACCGTAAATCACTCATTTTAGAAAATTTCACGCCTCATCGGTCTGAAAAGGATCATCAAGTATTGATTTGTTAATTAGGCGGAGTCTAATCAATCATTTTAGAAAGCTGCACATGTGAAGGCGCGCAGATGCAGCGCCGCTGCGTGTCTCCACTTTCTTCTTGTTAGCTGCGTTAATTCTCCAACCTTGAGTGACTTTCAACTGCGAGCCACGCTCCCTCAAGGATACATGTCTTAGCATAATACAGAGAGCTTAGGAGTCATTGAGATGTGGTCCCTTTGCTCCATGAGACAGACACTGCCAGGCGAAACCCGCCCCCCCATACCAGCTCTCAATGCCAACTCTGTGCCTCTGCAGCTTTGGCACCCCTGACCGTTGACTCTATCTCATTCACACCTCCCCTCCCCCAGACACACAGCAAACAAACACTGAGACTGTGTGCTTTACAGCCGCTTTAACTACCCCAATGTCAGTATTAATGCAGGAAGAGCTCATATAAAAATCTATCATTGGATGTTTGATGTTTTGTGTGAAATAAAGTAACGCTCTTTCACTCATAGATGCACATTTTACCTGTTGGATAGAAGCCTGGGTGTAATGACCTTTAACGTACTCACATCAATCTAAAGCTCAGCACCGGCTAACCTCAGATTAATTGAGGGGCGATTGCCAATTAAGGGGCGAAACAATCTGCTGTTTGGATTCAGGAGGGATGTCGTTAAAACATGAAAATATGCATGATTAATTCATCTCTTTATCAAACTCCTCCTGAAACAGTCTTCAAGTCTCAAATTAGATTCCCCGTATTTTTCATGTTTTTCAAAGAAACGACATTTCATCATCAAATTTCCTCCTTTCACCGAGTTACGTGCCAAATAGGGGGAGACAGGCAAGGTCAATCCATCCCCACGGTCCCCAGCTGGCACTCACCCCGCTGACGAGGGTGTCTGGGAGAGGGAGATGTTTTCATGCTGGGATGCACAATTTGCCCAGTGTTTACTCTCCTGTCCATTTGCATCACCGACAGTAGACCTGAGTGACATCAACATGAGGCCACAGTCACAGAGTGCTGTTGCTTCTTTTTATTTCGGGTTAGCCTGAAAATCTCTCAGGCTGTGCTCACGGTGCATGTGTGTGTGTGTACTGTGTGTACTGTGTGTACTGTGTGTAGTCATGTAGTCTCTATTTTTGTTTTATTGATGGCGCTCTGTCCTCACATTCCCAACACATCGAACCTGACCGAACTCTGACCTTTCGGTGAATTCTAATGCCATCTGAAAAAAACGGTTTATTTAAACTTTTACCTGCATCTGTAAAAAACAAAATTTCTGCACTTTATTATGAGAATAATAACCATCAGGTGTAATAAAAGATCGGTAATGTTAAGACTAATTGTTGTCCTTCTTTGAACAGGACCAGCCGACTGAGGTCGTCACCGTCGACATCCTGCAGGACCATCCACCTCCAAAGACAACGACACACAACCGAAGGCGCCGTCCTGAAAGGTCAGAGATGAGTTTGTTGTCACACTTTAACCTTCTGGAAACTTCCCTCTGCACACAACCGATCAATTTCACCTTCCCAACTATACAGATTACCTAGTGCAAAATCTTCCAAACGATCGGTATAAGCTTTCAAATATATTCACACATATGACGTTAAACTTTACACTTTATTCCTTTACATCAAATAACAACAAATAAATGTCTTAATGTCGAATAATAAAAATTAGACAGAACAAAAACAATAATATCTAATTTGGAGATTTGAAGGTGGAGCTTCCAGTCTGTAAACTGGTGTTGTGGGATCTGGCTAAAGCATGAAGTGGACTGGTTTGAGTGGAAACATCTCTGGAGAGCTTTTCTGAGGATTAGGACTACATGTAGTTTTTGCCTGTTGCTTCATATCTGATTCAGGAGGACCAACAGGTGTCACCAAATTGTTGAACCACTTCTTAAACTTTAACCCGAGTAAAAACTCTGTACTCACCAGGACAGAGTCACTTCCACGTCTGTTTTCTCTGCAGTGTGCTGTGGCACAAATCCTGAGTTATTGATATAGACATAGAGTTAATAGAGTTGGATTACGGGCTGTTTAGATCTCATCTGTTCAGGTGGTAAAGAGAAATTAGAGATGTGTCTCTCCTCTCTAAGATTGTTGATTCAGTCACCTGGTTTCCTCGGCTGTTATGTTACAGCTTCACTTGTACCTCCAACATCTTTTCTGCTCATAATCATCTGAGCGTGCGCCTGGATGTGCCTGATTGATATTCAGGTATGCTTTCAGAAGTATATAGATATATCTCATATTACATAAGCTCCACAGAGCTCCTCGGCTCCTCTGCTGTGAACGTGGAGTCACACCTGATGATGAGCAGAATGACCTGGTTTCATGTGTCCCCCGAGACACGTGTGCAGATGAAGAAGGAGCGCCGTGCGTCAGGCCTTCGTTTCTCTTCTTCTACAACCTGTCATGGAATCAATCCTGCCGTTAGATGTGCTCTCCCCGCGGGGAGGGAATCAGAGAAGGTGCTGGGGTTTAACCTTCACTGTCTTTCTCTCACTCTTTATTTCTATCTGCGAGCTCATCTATCCATCCATCCTTCTGTTTTGTCATCCTCTCTCTTCCTCTTCCTCCTCAGAGATTAGCTCCTTTTCTCTTTCCTCTCACTCATGCTGACTTTCTTTCCGCCTGGCTCTTTTTATCTCTCCTCATCTCCTCCTCCCTTCCTCTCTCTCTCTCTCTCTCTCTGTCTTCGCAGCACAGCAGCTCTCAGAGCTGAGGGACTATGATTAGGACAGAAGAGAACTGGCTGTAAGACAGAGACAAACTCAGAACTGGGTCATCATTGTTTCTGTGTGAGGGCCCGCTCGCTCACTCGCTCCCTCTCTCTCTCCCTCTCGCTCGCTCACTCTGCAGATGAAAAGCTTGAAGACGAGAGGAGCGAGCGATGCTCCATGCAGCACCGTGAGCCCCAGACATTTCTGGGCTACAGAAACACTCATGCAAAGGAGTGAAAGGAACTGCAACACAGAATTTATGTAATAAGAGCTGAATAAAACATGCTGCTGCTGGCCCGCTTTTTCCATTTCTCAACCCTTCCAGTTCGAAATCATGCTTCGGCTGGTTGTAGCTGCGTGATGGAGGATGGAGGCGGCGGCGGTCATGAAGCAGCAGACAGAGGGAAACCTGGGTAGTCACAGAGTAATAGTATTTTGACATCGATCACCATTTTTCTCCTCTGTCTCTCCGTCTTGTCCTCTCTGCGCTTGTCTCTTTCTCTCCTTTTCTGTCTTCCAGCCCTTTAGCAGACAGTCTGACAGGGTCTGTCCCACTGGCCAACCATTCAGCACTCATCATGCGCATCATTTCCTCTCATCATTCCCCCCGGTGTGCTTCTTCCATCTCCTCTGGCCTGCTCGCTCGCCATCAGCCGCTCCCCACAAACCTTTCCTCTCCCTCCGTCTGAGTGTGTGTGTTTATGGGGATGCATGCTTTTACATGAGGCCTGCTTCTTTATAGTGTTTGTTAAGCGTGTGCCGGCGTGACCGTACATAATTTTCCCCACACAGAAAGGATGAGTCACAGTGTGCGCTCCGGAGGAAAAGGGGGTTAAGGTTATCGATATGAATCCAGCAGAAACGGCTAAAAAAAATGACATTTTCATCTCATATCATCAAAGTCGAAGGTTTATTTGTAAATTTCCTGCATTTTATGTCACAATCAACAAGTATCTCGCTCTCATTTCCGACCCCGTCTTTGGCTTGTGTTTGTGCGATAGAATATAAAAGGTTATTTCCTCCGTTTGCTGGAGTGAATTATAAAACATGACATGCAGCGGAGAGACGCTTCATCCTGCCTGATATGAATACTGGTTAGAGTCAGGAAACTGTCATGTATAGAGCCACAGCCAGATTCAAGTCCCTGCCAGTGTGCAGAATTTAGCAGAATTGGAAGATAATATTCATGAGCGTGTTAAATTAGGGTAAAATCTCTTAAAATGAGCTTTTTGTTTTACATTGGAGCACGCCATCATCCAGCACCGCCATGTTTCTGCGGTAAAAAAGGACAAACTAGCAGCATTCGTAATTCGGTTTTTAGTGAGTGGACATTCAGAGAAGAAAACGCATGAAGTTTCTGATGATTAAAACCAAAGGAGAGGATTCATGGATTGTAGCAGCATTGAGGGTAGGGCTGGGCGAAAATTTACCGATAGCGAAATTTTCGACAATAACTGATGTCATTTTGCCGATATTGGTAAATTTGGTGTCAAAAAATTTAATTGTAGATTCTCAGTGAAGGCATCAAAACTACGAATGAGCACATGTGGATTCATCGGTAACAAAGAGGGAAAGACAGGTGAGGAGATGGAGGACGGTCCAAAAGTTGTAGTGGCTGAAGTAGACGAAGTTAATGTGGGAGGGGGTGAGCAGCTTGTGGAGTAGTTATCGTCCATTTATTGTTATTGAGGTGGACTGCTCAATATATTGATTATAGATATTGATTTGAGGACATATCACCCAGCCCTTAACTGCGGGCGTAGTACACGATGTTTGTGTCCCTGCAGAGCTGACATGCAGACAGCAGAGGAGGCACCACTGCTGATTATTCGGTGCATCAGCTTCCCTTTGAATAGTTTTTGCACATTCAGAACTTGGTTTGTTTGCTCTATGTAGCTCCTGCACAAACTTATATAGGTCTGTATTACTGCGTATGTGGTGATGCACTATGATATTTGATCCAGTATAGTGTGACTCTGCAGCGTTATGTTTCTTCGTTACAAGCTATATAACTATGTACGGTGTATTCATGTTGTATTTTTCCCATTTAAGTCGTGTTATTGTGCAGGTGTAGCACCTGATCTCAGCTTTAGATAGGTCACAACCTCCTTTATCGTATGAACTAGTCATTATTCATAGTCATTTAAAACATATTCTGTCTGTGCACTAAAATGTAGACAAACAGGCCGATGTTAGGAGACGTCTTGCAGAAATCACTGATTTGGCCCCTTTGTTGCATCTCATCCATCCTTCCCTGCTCCCTGTGATTTCTGTTTCTCGTTTTTTAGCCGCCAAAATTCCCAAAAATGCAAATTTACATACAGCTTGAAGTTTATCCTGCTGGACTTTGGGTGTTGGGGGAGGAGATAGTCAGTCCTACAAGGTAAGGGTGTGGCACTAAAGGGCACTATGATTTTTAAGAGCAGAGTCAGCCACTTTAATGACATTCTGTTACCTCTACATCTATGCTCCATGTGGTAAAAACCTTATTAACCTCATTCTGGTGATTTTCTTCCGTATGCATTGAACAGCAGACGCACAGACGTGTGCAGTTTGTTTGTTTGTGTTCACGCTGCAAATCAGGGAGAGAAAGGGAAAGAGAGGGTAACCAGCTCTGAGTGTCCTCTGAGCTGCACCATGAAAAATGAACTGAATCAGCTGAGTCAGCAAACAGTGACCCTTCACACTGCAAACAGCACAGGACTGTAAGCACTTCTGCAGTCTTGCAAACATGGCAGCGGATGACGCCCTGTGTGTATCCCTGTGTTTTGGTGTTTGGTCTCTCTCAGCCTCGTGTGCGCAGCTTGTGTCGAACCTTTACAGCAGATCCGAATTAGAGGAGCCTTGGCCTACTTTCCAAACCATCGAGGAGCAAATAATCAGCCCGAGTCGAGGATTTGCCTGGCGCTCTCTCAAATGTCTCGCATGCTTGTGAAACATCCTTTTTTTGCAAGTGTTGGTTTTTCTCAGAGACTTCCAAGAGCAGTCAGTGA